GGGAAGGGAAGGGAAGGGAAGGGAAGGGAAGGGAAGGGAAGGGAAGGGAAGGGAAGGGAAGGGAAGGGAAATCTCATTTTGAACATAGAGGAAGCAACAATCTTGACAGACTTACTTGATCCACCAGCCCAGGGAGGATATCTGGGTGTATAACAGAAATCTTTTGGGATGTGACCTCCCATCTACCTCCAACAGGGAAAACATACACCCAGGCTCATGCCATCATAAATTTTCTCATGTTTCTCCACAAAAGCGACCTTCACTTAATATAAAACCTTGCTGTCATCACTGCTGTCCCCTGATGTCTCCAGATCTTCAGGGACTCCTTCCCTCTGACTGGCAGTTGCCAGAGCATCCCTTTGCTCCTGGAAAGTCCACGGGTGCTCGTGCCTGGCACCCCGGTCACCGCTGCTGATTGCAGACGTGCCTGGAGATACTGCAGATGCGTTAGTGAGGAGAGATGGAAAATGAACTTGGGTTTTGACCGTGTCCCCCAGGTATTCACGTACTATGCCTCAAAACCTTTTGCCTTCTGGCAGTAGTTTTTTTCCCTGCATAGAGAGTGTCTGGACAGGACTGCAGTCCAGACGTGGCAGTCTGGGCCACGTTCGGGTCGGTGCCAGTGATCCTGCTGCGCTGCGAGTTGGCTGCTTGTGGCGGTGGGCTGGGAAGGGAAGGTGGCTCTGCCCCGGGGCAGTGGGGTCTGCCGGTGCTGCACTTGACCTTTGGAAGCACAAATCTCTGCCCTTCCCCGTAATGCTGGTGCTGTTGTTGCTCTGTAGCCAAGAGGACAGTGAGGACAGCCTAAGCGAGAACTGCAGGAGCAGTCGAGTGCCTGGCAGCTCAGTGGCCCAAGGAGTTGTCTCGGCCATAGTGACAGACACAAACCACCGCTGACTCATTTTCGCAGTCTACAGATGCGAGTGGATGTTGTCCCTCCAGCTCAGCTGGCATTCGTGTCCCCTGTTATACCCATGACGATCCCTGCAGAAAGCTGGTGTCGACCCGTCGCTAAACAGATCCACTCCTCCCACCTCTTGGCAGCGGTGCTGGAAGCGCCGACGGCCCAGCAAGCCCTGGTGCCAAATCCACGTGGACAGGGCTGAGAAACAGCCCCGGGGCAGAGGAGGAAGCGAGCGATGGTACCCGAACCCAGCAGACCCAGTGCCGGCAGTAGGGATGTGCCCGCTGTCCCAGCCTGCAGCAGCCCTCCTGCAGCCCCAGCGGCTTTGTAAACGCCCGCGCCCCT